AAAAAATAAAAAAAAAAAAAAAAAAAAAAAAAAAAAAAAAAAAAAAAAAAAGAAAAAGAAAAGAAAGGAAAATGGGAGAAAAAAAAAACTGAGGGAGGGGGGAAAGGCTGGGGGAAGGTGGGGTTTAGCAGAATGAAAGGGACTGTGGTGTTCTTTCTCCGGGGTTGATTGTTCCCAGATGTGCAGTTGCAAAAACATCTGGCGCGGTCGGAGCCGCCGGACCCCTGCACGGAGGGAGCGGAGCCTGGGGAAGGGAAGGGAAGGGGGAACAGCGGGGCCCTCCCTGCGGGGAGCGGCCGGGCCGGGGGGGGACGGGGGGGACGGGGGTGGAGGCGGCTTCATCCCCTCCTCGGTGGCCTTGGTGAAGGGGGGATGTCGTGGGGACATCGTGGGGACATCGTGGGGATGTCGGCCCCGCTCCGGGGTCTCCGTCGGGAGCAGCCGCTGGCGTCACCATCGGGGCAGACGTGACCCGACTGTCCCCATCCCGCGGCCAAACCCTGCGAGCTCCAGCCAAGACTGGGGGAAATTCAGGGAACTGGAGCTCTGGAGAAGCTGTGCAGGCTGGAAACGGGGCTGGCAGAGAGGGCACTGCAGAGCCCTGTCCTTGGGAGGGCGGGAGGATGGCGGGGGATGGCTCCAGAGGTGGTGTCTGTCTGTCCATCCATCCATCCATCATCCATCCATCCATCCATCCATCCATGCATCCATCCATCCCTCCGTCCCTCCCTGCTGGGATCCAGGCACTGAACCCAGATGATTTTTGGATCCACGGGATGCTGGCTCTGGCATCCCACAGGATCCTGGCACCCGCAGAACAGCAGGGCTCGGGATGGGCACCCCCGGCCCCCAGCCAGGCCCCAGGTGCTGTCCTGGGCCCAAGGTCTGCCAGACTGGCAAAGCCTCCGGAGGCACCGCTGGCCCCGTTCATCCCAGTCCCTTCAATCCCGGGACATTCCAGCCCGGCTCCGGGGCCGTGGGGAGCAGACAGGACCTGTCCCACCGAGGGCAGCCGGGGCTGAGCGTGCTGATCCAGCCCAGGCAGGGACCGACACCGTGGATTCCCAAAGCCAGGGAGGGTCTGGAGTCAGCACCTCCAGCAGCTCCAGTCCTGGAATGGGGATGATGAGGTTCCCGGGGGATGAGCTGTGAGGGGAAGGGGCTTTGTTTGGCGGGGCTGCAGGACGCGGTCCTGAGGGTGCCGTGATGGTGCTGGAGAGGACCTGGGGAGCAGAGAGTGCCACACGCTGGGTTCAGTGCAGGACAAGGGCCCTGGAAGGTGCCTTCAGTGACTGGGGTAGCTGGGAAACGGGAATATTGACACGGAGAGGGATGGGATCCCCGGAGGATCCCACAGTGGGGCTGGTGCAGGATGGGATCCCTGGAAAGTGCAGGATGGAATCCCTGGAGTATTCCACATTCTGGTGCAGGATGGGATCCCTGGGTGCTGCAGGATGGGATCCCTGGGTGCTGCAGGATGGGATCCCTGGAGGATCCCACTCTCTGGAGCTGGTGTGGGATGGGATCCCTGGAGGATCCCACCCTCCACAGCCGCTGCGGACGGTCCCGCTGACTCTTCCCGGGTGTTGCGGGGCTGGAGCCGCGTTCCCCCGGGATCTGGGCCCGGGAGTTCTCCCGGCACGGGGGGGGGCGATGTTCCCGCTCCGCAGGGATGAGGTTCCAAAGGGCTCCTCTCCCCCGTGCCTCAGTTTCCCCGCTGCGGCAGCAGAGCCGGGAGAGCCCGGGGAGGATCCCCCCACCCGAGCGCCGGGAATGCCGGCGGGATTCATGCTCAACCCCCTTCCCCTGGATTTCAGAGGAGTTTTGGGGGAGAATTTCTCTTTTTCCCCCGATTTTCCCCCTGGAGCTGTCTGGGGATGGGGGAAGGGTGGCCGGCATTCCTGGCGGCTCCTGGCCTTGGGCCCTCTGCCCGCCGGGAGCAGCAGCCTTGGAAAACGCCGGGAAGCGCCCGAGGCCGCCAAACCCCACGGGATTTCTCTCAAAATCCAGGATTTTCTCCTCAAATCCCCACGTTCCTTTGAATTCAGGGGATGCCCGAGCAAACGCGGCATCCCCCCAAAACAATTCCTTACCCAAGGAATTGGAAACCTCGGGAAAGGAGCCTCAAATTTCCACTCCGGGGGGTCTGGGCCTCTCCTCCCACATCCCGAGTGATCCGGGGAATGATCCCTACATCCCGGGAGTGGTCCCAGATCCCGGGAGTGATCCCGGATCCCGAGAGCGATTCCAACACCCCGGGAGTGATCCCGACATCCCAGGAATGATGCTAGGAGTGATGCCAGGAGTGATGCTGCATCCTGGCGTTTCTCCTCCCTGCTCTGCCCGCGGGATATTCCGGGGTTTGGTCCTTGAAAATCCTGTGGGAATGGGCGGGAAGCATTTTTGGGGAAATTCCTTGGTTTTTGAGAGCTGGGAGGGGGAGGATGTTTTTGGAGCCAGCTCCCGGAGACATCGGGGATGGGGAAGTGTCCCTGCATGTCCCCGGTGTCCCTGCCTGTCTCTCTGTGTCCCCGTGTATCCCTGAGTGTCCCCACATGTCCCTGTGTGTCCCCGTGTGTTCCAGCGTGTCCCTGCCTATCCCTGCCTGTTCCTGCGTGTCCCCGTGTGTCCCTGAGTGTCCCCTCCCTCTGAATCCCCTCTGTTCACATCCAGACTCCTCCGGCTGCATCCCGGCCGCTCTCCCGCCCTTTCCCGTCATTCCAGCAGGATGAGAGCAGCGGAGCTCCTGGTGCTGTGTCTGCCAGGTGAGTGTCCCCAGCCCTGGGTGACAGCCCCGCACCCCCAGCACCGTGTGGATGGTCCCAATCCACATTTTCTCACTCCACTTTTACCGGTTTTCCTCATTTTTAAACCCCAAGACACAACTGGAGGGTCCAAACTCTCGTTTTCAGGGTCTAAACCCCAGCTCTAGAAGGAAAAACCTATTTTTTTTTGTGCCCCCAAGCCTCATTTTTGCACCCAAAACTTCATTTTTATGTTCCAAATCGTAATTTTTAGGTCCCAAACCCTCACTTTTATGTCCCCAAACCTCATTTTAACATCCCTAAACCTCAGTTTTAGGTCCCAAATCTTCACTTTTGGAACCCAAAGCTCTGATTCAGTGGTTGAAAACCACTTTTTTTATGGTACAAACCCTCATTTCTAAGTTCCAAATGCCCTTTTGGAGGTCTAAAGGTTCATCTTAATGCCTAAAACCTCATTTTTAAGGCCCAAAGTTTGGTTTTGAAAGTCCAAATCCTCTGATTTAGAGGCCAAAGTTTTGTACCAATGCCTCATTTTTACCTTCCAGAATCTCATTCTGGGGATCAAAGCCTCCAAAATTGCATTTTTAGGGCACAAAGTGTTAATTTTTGATACTAAAGCATCATTTGAGGGGTGATCAGGAGGTGGCCACAACTCCCAGTGATTTTTGGGGGGCTGCACCATCACTCATTCCCTACTAGTCCCCAAAATTCCCCCAAATCCCACTTTGGGCTCATCTTTAGGCTGGGAATGTTTCTGTGCCGGGGCCACGAGGCACCAAGCGAGTGGGGACATGGAGGTGGCACAAAAGTGGGACAAAATCCAGGGAAATGAGATTTATAACCCCGGGGGCTGGTGGGGAGATGGCAGCGAGCAGGGAGGGGCTGGAGCCGGAGCCAGGAGAAGTTGGGGTGAAAGCGGCTGCACACAAAGGGGGGGACACAGGGAAAACCTCGGGGGAGGGAAGGGGGCCAGAGCCCCAGAGCCCATCCTGCAGCATTCCCGGTCCCTGGGACAGGGAGGGATGGAGCGTCCCGGCCTGGGTGAGCTGAGTCCCCTTCCCGGGGATTCCAGTCCCTTCCCGGGGATTCCAGTCCCTTCCTGGGATTCTGGTCCCTTCCTGGGATTCGGATTCTGGTCCCTTCCCGAGGATTCCGGTCCCTTCCCAGTATTCCGGTCCCTTCCTGGGGGTTCCAGTCCCTCTGACTCTTCCACGCTGGATTTGGAGCCGTTTCCCCCGGATTTGTGGCAGGATGAGCTCCCAGGGGATGGAGGGGCTTGGAGCATCCCGGGGTCAGCGGGGCCGTGGCAGCCGGGATCCTCTGGGATCACCCCTGGGGTCACCTCTGAGGTCACTCGGATGCTGCAGGGACCCCGGCCAGGGCTGATCCTGCATCCCTGAGCATCCCAAATCCTTCTCCTGCTCTCCTGGGGCCGCAGGGCCCTGAGGACAGAGGGGTAGGATTGGGGATGGTGGGAGCAGGGATCAGGCTGGGGGTGTCTGTGGGAACCCCGAATCCTTGGCAGGGGGTTTCTGTGGGGTTGGGGGGGTGGGGGGTGCAGGGAACCCCAAATCCCCCATTTGGCATGTCTGTGGGAATCCCAAATCCCAATTTGGGGTATCCATGGGAATCCCAGATCCCAGTTTGGGGTATCCATGGGAATCCCAGATCCCGGTTTGGGGTTTCCATGGCAATCCCAGATCCCGGGTTGGGTGCTGTGCCCCCGCTGACCCCGGCCCTGTCCCGCAGTGCTCCTGGTGCAGGGACAGTTCAGCAGGTTCGAGGGCATCACCTACCCCGAGCCAGTCCAGTACTCCCAGTACGACCAGCAGGCAGGTGAGAGCCCCGCGCTGGGACGGCCCCCGCCCCTTCTGTCCCTCTCCAGACAGACAGACACACATCCCTCTGATCCCGACAGACAGCCATCCCTCTAATCCTAACAGACTGACATTCCTCCGATCCCTCCCTCTTGCATTCCTTTTCCTCCGCCCCTGGAGTTCCCAACCTTCCCAGCTCCTCCCACTGACAATTCTTTATTTACCTTTATCCAATTCCTTATTAAACATTTATCCAATTCTGTATTAACCCTTTATCCAATTCTTTACTAAACATTTATCCAATTCTTTATTTCCTTTTATCCAATTCTTTATTAACCCTTTATCTAATACTTTATTAAACCTTTATCCAATTATTTCTTAACCCTTTATCTAATTCTTTATTAAACTTTTATCCAACTATTTATTAGAACTTTATGCAATTATTTTTTGAACCTTCATCCATGCCAAATCCCCACCTGTGGGAAGTGTCCCAGGCTCATCCCTGGAGGGGCTGGAGGGAGTTGTCCTGGCCCACCACAGAATTCCAGGGATCTCATTTCCCACTCCCCGTCCCCACGGGATGAGTTCTCTCCCCAAACCCTCCCTCAGCCTGTTTCTGTTTTATCCTCAGAAATTCAGGATTACTACGACTACCATGGTGAGTGTTTCCCTCTGGGATGCCGGGGGGGGGATCAGGATTTGGGGGTGTCCCTGCACTGGGTCTCTCCCTGCAGATGTTACCCCCCGAGCCCCGGAGGAGCAGTTCCGGTACCAATCCCAGCAGCAATCCCAGCAGGAAACCGTGCCGGCCCCGACCCCAGGTGGGTGACAGCCCCTGGGGGGGGACAGCCCCAAAGTGGGTGACAGTCACCAGGATGGATGACAGCCCCCGGGGTGGGGGGTGACAGCCCCAAAATAGGTGACAACCCCCAGGATGAGTGACAGTCGCAGGATGGGTGACAGTTCCCAGGGGTGGGTGACAGCCCCCCAAGCCCCCCAGTCCCGGGGCTGGGGTCTCTCTGTCCCTTCCCTGTCCCTCCAGCCCAGCTGTGCCCTCCCCACCCCGGAGCAGCCGGTGGGTGCCAAGGGTGCTCCAGCCCTAAAATCCCAGGAAAGGGCAGGGAGACACTTCTGCCCCATCCTGAAATTCCCTCCCCTTGTCCCCTTGTCCCCCTGTCCCCTGTCCCCCTCAGCTGCGGTGCCCGAGACGGAGCCCACGGAGCCGGGACCGCTCGGTGAGTGCCGATTCCATTCCCGTTCCCTGTGCCGGGTCCCACCGTTCCCCCCGGAGCCGGGCTGTGACAGCCGGGGAGGGGGGAGGTGACAGTCGGGGCGGGGGGTGGCTCCGGGTGAGGAATTCCCGGGAATTGCGGGTTCCGCAGACTGCCGGGAGGAGCAGTACCCCTGCACCCGGCTCTACTCCGTGCACAAGCCCTGCAAGCAGTGCCTGAACGAGATCTGCTTCTACAGGTGCGTGAGGGGGGGAAACATCCCCTGATCCCTCTGATCCGGGATTCTGGGAACCCCTCCGCTTTACATCCCCATCCTTTCTATCCCAAAAATTCCAGCCTCCGCCGGGTGTACGTCATCAACAAGGAGATCTGCGTCCGCACCGTGTGCGCCCACGAGGAGCTGCTGCGAGGTGAGGGGGGCGCCCCAGGAACCGGCACCGTCCCATCCAAATCCCCGTCATTCCGGGAGGGAAAATCCCGCGGGACCAAAGCTCCCGAGACCCCCGGAGCAGAGCGGGGTGGGCTGTGGGGTTGGGCCGGGCTGTGCAGCAGTGGGGCGGGGGTCCCTGGCTGCTCCCAAAGCTCCCGAGACCCCCGGGCAGAGCGGGGTGGGCTGTGCGGTGGGGCTGGGGAGCTTCCCTCGCTGCTCTCCCGGAGTTTTCCCGATTATCCAGGGGTAATCCCTCGCTCCCCGCAGCCGACCTGTGCCGGGACAAGTTCTCCAAGTGCGGGGTGATGGCCACGAGCGGCCTGTGCCAGACCGTGGGCGCGTCCTGCGCCCGCAGCTGCGGCGGCTGCTGAGCCCCGGCCCCGCTGCGCACCCGCCCCGCGCCGCTGCGGCTCCCGTGCATGAACGAGCAGCTCCCCGAACCCCCGGGATTCCTCTTTTCTTTGTGCACATAATAATTAAATCGGGGGGGTTTGTTATTTCTGTGCCTTTCTCTGTCCCGCGGGAGGGGGAGCCCCGGAGGGTCCCGCAGAGAGAGGAGGGGGAGCCCCGGAGGGTCCCAGCTCCTTCCTTTGGGGTTATTCCCAATTTCTGGGCTCCCGGCTCCTTCCTTTGGGGTTATTCCCGATTTTGGGGGAGTTTCTAACAATCTGAACAATTCCCAGCGCTGCACACAGGGGGTACGATGGCTTGGGGGGTTTTAGGGGCTTTGGGGTGTAAAATGGCCAAATTTAGGCTGGTGGTTGGGGGATGTGGGGGCTCAGTTTGGGGCAGTTCCTATAGGAAGATGTGCAGTATGGAAATGTTTGGGGTGAGGTCTGGGTCACTTACAGAAAATAAAGGGGTTTGGGGTGAGTTTGGGGCTGGTTTTGGGGTGTTGCCCAGTTCCCCTATAGAAGGGTGGTGGGTGGGGTCTCACAGTGAGTTTCTCCACTATAGGGCAATTTTCCCTCCGTAGGATGAATTTCCTCTCTCTAAGGTGAATTTCTTGTCTATAGTGTGATCTCCCTTCTATGAGGTGCATTTCCCCTCTATAGGGAGAATTTGCCCCCAAAACTTCTCTCTCATCTATGGGGTGCAGCTTTATCCTCATCATTATTTGCTGTTTACTACGATTCCTTATCCTTTACTCTTCATTATTATTAATTATTATTATTGGGTTTTAATTCTTGCTTATTTCTATTTATTCTTCATTATTCTTATTATTCATTATTATTCAGGGACCTCATTCAACCCAGCCCAAATTTGGGCATTCCCAAAATGCCAGCTTCCCCCCAAAAAATCCCTCAGAACTCTCAGTTTGGATTTTCCACGTTTATTCCAGCCAGGACTGGTGGGGGTCAGAGCCACCACTTCCCTTCCCGTGGCTTTCCCAACCTCAGGCTGCCCCAGAGCACCAGTAAAAACCCCCATTCCCAAAAATTCCATATAAAAACCGTGCTAGTTCCTAAAAAAATCCTTCAAAAACACAAATCCAGGGAGGTTTTTTTTTGTTAGAAAAAGGGGGAAAATTAGGATGGGGTGAGGGCAGGGCTTGGAAGGCTGGAGGGGAATAAATCAGTTGGGTCTTCAAGGGCCAAAAAAGGGGAATATTTCCCATTTTTCCGTTAAAAACTGCAACAGGAAAATGGGTAAACCATCCATGAGGTTCCAGATTGTATCAAAAATAGACAAATTTTGTCAGCTGGTGGGAAAAGTGCAGCTTTTTCCTGGAGAAAAGGGAACAAGGAGACAAAAATCGCTGTGGGTTTGGAGCACAGGAGTGGGGATGGATCCCGCTCACCCCTGAGCAGAGCTGCTGTGGATTCTGGGATCGGGGATGGGGATGGGGATGGATCCCCCCATCGTGGAGCTGCGCCGGTCCCTGCGGATGTCCCGGAATTCCCTACGTTCCGCTGGGATGTCGCTGCAGCTCCTGCTCCTTGAGCAGCGCGATCTGCAGGAGGGAGGGAGGGGAGGCTGTGGGGCCGGGCCGTGTCCCCGTGTCCCTGCGGGCCATGTCCCCGTGTCCCCGGGCCGTGTCCCCCCGGGCTGTGTTCCCCGGGCTGTCCCCGTGTCCCCGGGCCGTGTCCCCTCACCTGCTCCTCCAGGCCGCCGCGGCCGAGCCGGAGCCGCTCCAGCTCCCGCTGCAGCTCCGCGGGTGCCTCGGGGAGCGGCCGGGCCCGGAGCTCCAGCGCCGACACCTGCGCCTGCAGGGAGGGGTGAGGGGTGCCCGGCACCCCGCACTGGGCACTGCCTGCTGCGGGCACCCCAGAACGGCCCGGAGCCAGCGCCAGCACCAACACCAGCACCAGCACAAACACCAACACCAGCACCAACACCAACACCAGCACCAACACCAACACCAGCACCAACACCAACACCAACACCTCCCTGGTGTGAGCCAGCACCAACACCTCCCTGCCCCTGGAACGAGCCCAGCCCCATCCCAGTACTGGGACCATTCCCACCGGGATGAGCCCGGCCCCATCCCAGCACCAGCACCAGGCTCATTCCCATTAGGATGAGCTCCCAAAGGAGCAGCCCCAGCCCGTGGATTTGGATCAGCCCCATCCTGTGGATTATGATCAGCCCCAGCCCATGGATCAGCCCCAGTCCCATCCCGTGGATCAGGATCAGCCCCAGTCCCATCCCGTGGATCAGGATCAGCCCCAGCCCATGGATCAGGATCAGCCCCAGCCCCATCCCATGGATCAGGATCAGCCCCAGCCCATGGATCAGCCCCATCCCATGGATCAGGATCAGCCCCAGCCCATGGATCAGCCCCAGCCCATGGATCAGGATCAGCCCCAGCCCATCCCGTGGATCGGGCTCGGCCCCGGCGCAGGGACCCACCCGCAGCACCTGGATGCGTTTCCGAGCCTCCTCCAGCTCCCGCTCGGCCGAGCCCGCGGGGGGATCCGGCCCTGCCGGGAGCCGCGCGGATCCAGCCCGGCCAGGAGGGTCCCGCTCCTGCCCGGACACACAGATAAATATTTATTAAGGTATGTGTAATAGATAGAAAAATACAGAGATATATTAGAGTAATAGATATATATACATATATATGGCAATAGATCAATTATCTAATATAGTATCAGATCATTAGATATGATTATATAGGTATGAGATGATAATTAGATAATTAATTAGCCCATAAGGGTGTGGGGCTCTATGGGGGATCCACAGTGTCCTGTCTGGGGTCAAAGGTCAGAGAATTTGGGGTGCGGCCCCGCTCACCTCCTGCTGCCGGTCCTGGGAGGACTCCGGCGGCATTCCTTGTTCCGGCGACGTTCCCGGCTCCCGCGGCGTTCCCGGCTCCCGGAGCATTCCCGGCTCCCGGAGCATTCCCAGCTCCCGGAGCATTCCCGGCTCCCGGAACATTCCCGGTTCCCGCAGCATTCCCAGTTCCCGCTGCTCCCGCAGCTGCTCCCGCAGCATTCCCTTCTCCCGCCGCGCCTCTGCCAGCGCCCGCCGCGCCTCCTCCAGCCCTTCCTGGGACACCGGGGGGACAGCGGGACAGCCCCGTGACACCCGGGGAAACCCCCGGTGACGGGCAGGGGGCTCAAGGGGACTGGGACTGGGTCCAGGGAGAACTGGGACAGGATTCAGGGGAACTGGGGGGAGTTGGAATGGGGTTCAGGGGGAAGAGGGAGGAGTTCCAGTGGGAACGGGGGGACTGGGAGTAGTTCAGGGCGAATGGGGGCACTGGGAGGGGTTCAGAGGGAACTGGGGGAAGTGGGAGGGGGTCTAGGGAGAACTTGGAGGACTGGGAGGGGATTCACAGAGAATCAGGGGACTGGGAAGGGGCTCGGGAGGAGCTGGAGGCAGTGGGAGGCAGTTCAGAAGGAACCGGGGGCACTGGGAGGGGTTCCGGTCCCACCTGGAGCAGCCTCCGGTCCGTCTCGCCGGCGGCCAGCGCGTTCTGGAGCTGCAGGAGCCGCTCGTGGAGCAGAGACCCGTCCGGAGCCTCCCCCTTGGAGCCGCTCCCCGGTGGCACCGGGAACGGCCCCGAGCGGGACTCGGCCTGAGCCAGCTGTGTCCGGAACGGGAATGGAGAGTGGGGAACTGGGGGCACTGGGAGGGGATTCAGGGGGAACTGGGGGGACTGGGAGGAGCTGGGGGAACTGGGGGGACTGGGAGAGGGCTCAGTGGGGGGACTGGGAGGGGACTGGGGGAACGGGGTGGGTGTTCAGGAGGAACTCAGAGGAATTGGGAGGGTGTTCAGGGATAACTGGGAGGACTGAGAGGGGTTTTGGAGGAACTGGGGACAACTGGGATGGGATCCAGGGGGAACTCAGGGGAACTGGGAGTGGGTTCAGGGGGAACTGGGAAGGCTTTCGGGAGGCACTGTGGAAAACACAAGGGAACTGGGAGTGGGTTCAGTGGGAGCTGTGGAACTGGGACAGGGCTCAGGGGAAACTGGGGGGACTGTGGGAACTGGAGTGGCTTCAGCGGCAGCTGTGGGACTGGGAAGTGCTTCAGGAGGCGCTGGGAGGGCTCTCGGGGAGGAACCGTGGGACTGGATCCATGGAAAGCCAGTTCAGCCCCTGGAATCCGGTGGGAGCGGTGCCGGTACCTGCGTGCGGAGCTGCTCCGCTCGCTCCCGCGCCTCCGCGTCCCGCTCGGCCAGCGCCCGCCGGGCCCGGCCCAGCTCCGCCTCCAGCGCCCGCCGCTGCAGCTCCAGCCGGGCGCTCCGGCCCTCGCACACCTCCAGCCTCTGCCGGGCCTCCTCCAGCTCGCCCAGCTTCTCCTGGAGCCGCCGCAATGCGGGCGTGGAGCCGGGATGTGCCGGGCCCACCTGGACTGCCCCGCGCTCCCACCCGGGCTGCCTGACACTCCCCAGGGGCTGCCCGGCATTCCCACCTGGATTATCCCACAGTCCCACCTGGACTGCCTGGCATTCCCACCTGGATTATCCCACAGTCCCACCTGGACTGCCTGGCATTCCCACCTGGATTATCCCACAGTCCCACCTGGACTGCCCGGCATTCCCACCTGGACTGCTCAGCACTCCCACCCCATGGGGCTGCTCGGTATTCCCACCTGGATTATCCCACATTTCTACCTGCACTGTCCCCCATTCCCACCCGGACTGCCGGCATTCCTGCCTGGATTTGACCCCAATTTCCAGCTAGACCATCCCACATTCCCAGCTGGACGCCCCGTTCCCCCCTGACCCCGGTGACCCCGTTCCCCCCTGACCCCCCCGTTCCCCCCGACCCCCCAGTTCCCCGTTCCCGTTCCCACCTGTTCCGCCCGCCGCTCCCTCTCCGCGGCGCGCATTCCGCTCTCCAGGGCGCTCAGGCGCTCCCGCAGCCCGCGGCATTCCCGCTGCGAGCGCCGCAGGCTCTCGTCCTGCAGCAGCAGCGAGGCGCGGGCCCCGCTCAGCTCCCGCCGCTCTGCGGGGTTGGTGGGGGTGCACAGGGGTTTTACTGGGGTTTGTGGAGGTGCAGGGGGGGTTTTACTGGGGTTTACGAGGATGGAAGGGGGTTTTACTGGGGTTTGTGGGGCTGCAGGGGGGTTTTACT